TTGTTTTTTTTTTTTTTTTTTTTTTTTGACTTAAGTGTTTCTGAACATCAGAGTTCTCTACCAAGTAAAAGGAAGTTGGGAGGGGAAATGCCACCTCTGTAAAATATCACTCAAAGATAACTGAGTGACTCGCCAGTATTTTGGAGACAGCAAGAAAAGAACAGAAGTGGGGCCTCATCCTTCGATTTTCAACACAAGAGAAAAAGAGAAATTGTTCTTCAGCAAGTAAGTACATTTACTATTATCTTAATATGGGATAGCTTGGTAGACCTAGTGACCAACAACCTGACTGCTTTTTAAACAAACATACCATCACTCTTACCTCCAAGATGCATACTTTCTCCCCCCCCAAAGGGCCTTCAGGGGGTCTCTTATCCCAACATACTTGGAGAATCATCATCAGAGTTATGGCCCATTATTTTAAGTTTCCTAGGTGGTAGAAAATATTAATTTTGTAGGCTGAATTTGAGTTTTCCAAAACCGCAAAATTCTGATGAATAAGTGAATCCAAGCTAATCCTGACTAAAAATGGAGTATGGCTGATAAAACAATACAGTTTGGCTGAAAAACTGGCTCAAAGAGGGGTCCCAAACATTTCCCTGGTAGCACTAGACTGTCTCTGGTGGCAATCTGAGAGGATCACATAGGAGCACAGCTTTCATTTTTATTCCTAAAGTTTAATATATTTACTAAAAAAAAAAAAAAATCAGCTTCCTCACATTATAGTACACAATATAAATAAGTAATGTTTTCAGCATGTCTTTTCTCTTCCTTTTTTACTGACACTTTTCCGTTGATTGAGATCCTCTACCCCTTTAAGACATATTCTTTGTGTAGAAGTATTCGAAAATGGAAACACCTTTTTTTTCTATGTTAATATATTAAGAAAGAAGTAGGTTCGTGACTTAAGTACTGCCTTGGACAAAATATGCCCTTCCTGGTGCTCTGTGTTTTCGGTATGTTCTGAAGAGAGTCCAAGCTTTCATGGGTGGGCTTGCTGATATCCAGGGCCCTTATAGTTAGTTCTTTGTGTTTCTAACAGTCTTCATCAACCCTTCTGGCATTGGGAGAGCGGTGGTTGGTTCTTGGAACATGCATGCACAGGCAGGGTCACCTCCGCAGAGGTCCGCCAATTTTTGCTTTTCCCTAGAGATTGTGCCGTGACTTAGAGGTTGCTCAGATGACGATCCCTGACTCATTTCAGGCGGGCAACTAACAAGTTTTACAACCCATGGTGGGCCAGTCTTCCTTCCTGGGTGACTTTTATTTTTTCCTTTTCAGGTTGTGAAAATAAATCCATAATATTGTATATTTAGGAGTTTGGACACCCAGGTACAGCATCCAGCCTCTCCTCAGTGTGTTTTGCAAACACTGCGAGAGAACCCTCTGTGTGGGGCAACTGAATTGTCTTCTGCCTTGCCTGGTGTAAGCTGTGAGGTGCCTGAGTCTCATTTGGCTTGAAATTGTTTTCTTTTGTTTTCCATCCTCATCAGCAGAAGCCATGGATCACACACTGAAGTGGGGAATCCCACCCAAGCTCCCATACCTCAAGCTCTTTCAGCTCTTGGTGCTGGCTGGTCTGTTTTACTTCTGTTCAGGTAAGCAACCTCCAGGAACTTGACTGAGTCCACTGCTTCAGGGTTTAGAGAGAGGAAATGGTGTTCTCTGTGCTGCCTCCTTCTGTGAGACAGAAGGGACCTTCAGGGTATTTCAGTTCATTTTAGGGCTGAGAAAACAGGTCCAGAGATGTTAAAGGACCTGCCCTTGATCACACAGCAAGCCAGTGGCCAAGTTAGCTCAAGAACACAGACCTTAAAGGAAAGGCGGGGCGGTGTTATTTTAACAAAGCCAAAAGCTGATTCAGAAGGACAGCTTCGAGTTGTGATCTCTTCCACTAGGTGCTTGTTTACATTTTGTGAAACCACTAAGGCACTGGCCTTGGGCTCTGGTTCCCAAACTACATTTCTGAGACAACACAGCTAAAGTCTTCTGCTTCTAAAACTAAACAGTGATGATCTTCTTTCCAAGTTGAAGGGGGAAAAGAAAGTATTGATAGTTGTAACATACAATCTTCTTAATATTAAAAATTTCTCAATATTTATTTTTATGCTTTAGGTGCTGATGCCCTTTGTCAACACAGGCATCTGACATTAAGTAGTATCAGATTTAGCACAAATCATATTTTAGTTGTTTTTAACTTACTATATAAGTATTTCAGGTGTGTCCTACAGAGAATATTTTGACTTCTGGAGGCTTTTGTTCCATCTCAGGTGCTGGACTTGGGGGGCTGTTGGGAAGGGTGGTGCTGGTCCTGCTGACAGGGTGGCTCTGACTGTTTTTTTAAAAGTCAGAACAAATAAAAGATCTGCTTTGTGCTGAGCAGCTTACTACCTGGTTTCATCAAAACAAAGAGGAGCCTTTGCCTCCTGCAGCGTTTCCTAATCTGTAAAGAGCTGAATATCAAAGGGCCTTGTCTTAAGCGTTGGTTACTTAAAACTGCAGCCATCACCCAGAATGACTAAGGTGTGAGGGAGGGCACTGGAGGGAAGGGATTACTGTGACTCTGGTATTTGTACATTGTCTGTCCTGAGCTGTAAAACTTGCTATTTTACACTGCTGCTGAACCAAGAGAACCATGAGTCAAGTTTCACATCAGATTTTGTATATCTGATGGACAGTATTATTTCCAACAGTTACAATTTTCTTCTGTGTAGTCGGGGGCATCCCTCCCAATCTAGAGTCTTCTGGGGAATCTTAATGAGTTTTAAAAGATTTAGAAGGAAATTTACAGGCTTCCTAGAAATGTGGTATGTGTGCATGCATGCGTGCAAGCGTGTCTGTGTGTGTGTGTGTGTGTGTGTGTGAGAGAGAGAGAGAGACAGATGAAAGGGGGGTGAGGAGAGAGAAAGAAACAATAAAAAAGAGAGAAAGCATAAAAAGAAAATTAAAACCAAGGCTATAGCAATTATACCAGAAAAATTAGGGGCAAATGGAAGGAAATAAACTTTGAGCTAAAGAAAGATATTTAGGAAAGTACCTTGTTCTACAGCTAAATTCAGATTTTATTGTTGCTATACTGAGTCAACAAAGGAATCCATGAGTTTCTTTTGTCTGAACACCTACTGTGTATCAGGTGGGCCTTAAAAACTGAGCCTGGGATTCCTGCCCTCAAAGAGATGTGAGTATGTTGGAGAAGGCAAAACAAACCCACAAGCAAGTGAAGAGCAGTGAAGTGAATGGCCCCGACTGTAAGCGCCCCAGACCTGGGAAAGCTGGGACCAGGGTGGGCCGCGGCAGCGGCAGCGGGGCAGGCTTTACGGTGAAGGACGCCGAAGGTAAGGATGAGTCAGGGGTGAGTAAGGATGAGTCAGGTTTATTCTTTTGTTTACTCATTTATGAATTCAACAAACACCGAGCATCTCTTATGTATAAGGCACTTTCTTGGTCCTGGGGACAAGTTGTGAGCAAAATTGACTTGGCTTTTGCTTTCATGGAATTTACAGTCATTAGGAAGAAGATGAAGATTAATCAATCATTCAAATGAATGTATGACCGAGAAACTCTCTGTTTCTCTGCCAGAGGGGACAGTGGTGAGAGTGATCTGGGTGAAGGTGGAAGGAGCAGCATGTGAGGGACACGCAGGAGCAAGGAAGTGACGGTGGGCAGTGTTGGGGCAGCAGGGAGACAGGGACCAGTCTCCATAGGGCTTGAAGGCCAGGGATCTGAATGTTATTTGGAGGCACTGGGAAGCCATAGAAGGATTTGAAGCAGGGGAGTGACACGGTCTATATCAGTGCTGCTGACACTTTAATTATACATGCCAGTCACCTGGGGGTCTTGTTAAAAAGCAGTTTCTAGCACAGGGGATTTTTTTTTTTATATATTGGAGTTTCGTTGCTTAACAACGTTGTGTTAGTTTCAGATGTACATCAAAGTGATTCAGTTATACATATCCACTCTTTTTCAAGTTCTTTTCCCATTTAGGTTATTATAGAATGTTGAGCAGAGTTCCATGTAGCACAGGGGATTTTTAGAGCAGCGAAAATACTCAGTATGATATTGTAATGGCAGATACATGTCGTTACACATTTGTCAAAACCCATAAGATGTACAGCGCCAAGAGTGACCTCTGGTGTAAACTGGACTTTGGGTGACAGTGATGTGTCAGTGTAGCTTCATCGACTGTCACAAATGTACCACTCTGGCACGGGATATAGGTGGTGGGGAGGCTGTGCCCATGCAGGGGCGGCGGTATACGGGTACTCTCTGTACTTTACGTTTATTTTGCCGCGAACCTAAAACTGCTCTAAAAGGTAAAGTCTGTATATATTTTTTAAAATGTAGTTTCTGCTTAGGTGGGCCTGGGGACGGGCCTGCATTTCTGTATTTCTAACAAGCAGCCAGGTGATGCTGATACGCTGGTCCACAGACCTTTAGCTTTAGTAGTAAAGCTCTAAATGATATATTTTTTTAAAAAATGGTGTTGCTGAAGCATAAAGAATGGCTTGTAGGGCAGCCACAGTGACTGCCAAAACCATTTAGTAGCTTATAGTACTTGATGATAGCTTCGATGAAAAGAATGGGATTGGAGGGAGATGGAGGGATTGGAGAATGTGTATGATGTAGAACTGGTGAGGATTTGCCAGACTGAAGTGCAGGTGTGGATTGTGCATGGCCTGTGGGAGACAAGACTGGACAAAGAGAGTGGAGTACAATCACGGAGGACTTTGTTCAGGGTAGAGGATTTGCACACTACCCCCTCCTTTCCTCTCCTGTGTAGGAGAGCTGCACTTCCCCCTGACACCCCATCCACTGCTGCCCGGGACAGGGGACTTCTGTTTCCTGCACAGGGTGGGACCAGCAGGGCTCCTCTCCACTTCTAGTTTGGTTTGTGGAGGCAGAAACACCGGACTCCTGTGCTCCAGAGACTGGTGGTTGTCTAACATGGGCAGCTTTTCCTCAGAGCTGGGGTCCTCTCAGGGAGACACAGCTCTCAGGGGAGGTGAGAGGCCTTGGGTAGGAGTAGGCCAGGGATGCAGGATAGGTGTTGGCCTGGAATTCTGTGGCATGAGAAACACTGAGCTAGAGGAAAGGAGTGCCTTCAGAGTGCCACTGTAAACAAAGCCTCTTCCCTCCCACCATGTTCTGTCTGCATGCTGCTGGCCAAGGCATCCTGAAAGCCACGCTTCTTGCTGTGACTACTGTGATATCAGCTGTTGAAGTCCCCGAGCATTTTAGACATATACTGTTTAGGGAGACACACAAAAGTAAGGATCAGATTTATAACGAGTATATAGGCTGGGCCTATAGAGGAGAGAAAGTTGGCAGCAATGTAAAAATCAGGTGACAAGTCTAAATCTGTCAGCTGCTGGAGAGCAGATACCTCTTAGCCTCCTTGTGTGCCCAGCACCCAGCCCGGGGCCCACACAAGCCCCGTGGATGCTGGTTCACTTAATCAAAAGCACTTAGAAGGGCCCAAAAAGGTCACTTCCTTTGTGTTAAAGGTCACACAGACCATTAACAGTAAATCTCCAGGTGGTGGGATTACAGGTGACTTTTATGCGTTTCTGTATTTTTCATTCTTTGCAAATTTAATGTGTGTTTCTTCTAGAGTCAGGGAAAACCTTTATTTAAAAAGCACACCAAGGTCTTCAGTGAGATACATTACGGTACACGGTGATATAAGCTGCTGTGCGCACCTGATTCTTTCTCCTTTAGGAGAAGTGGTGGTGCAGCCCTGCTGACCATTGCTGGGGTTCACCTCCGAGGAAGGGGCATTGTAGCCAGCCCAGTGTCCACACTGCCTTGCTCTAGTTTGGAGTGACTAGGGGATACTCATGGCTTCCTAGATTGGGTTCTTATTCTTTTAAAGCTATACATTAAATTTTATTATTGTTCTCCCAATTGTCCTGTATGGTTTTTTTCCCCCTGCAGTGACATAAAATTCACTGTTTTAAAGTGTACGATTCAGTGCTTTTTAGTATAATCACAATGTTGTGAAATCATCACCACTAATTTCAGAACATTTCTATCACTCTAAAAAGAAACTCCATACCCATTAGCTGTCCCTGTCCATTCCCTCTGCCCTGTCTCCTGGTAGCCACTAATCTAATTTCTGTCTCCATGAATTTGCCTATTCTGGACATTTCTTCTAAATGGAGTTATATTATATGTGGCCTTTGTGTATGGTTTCTTTCACTGAGCATAATGTTTTCAAGGTTCATCTATGTTGTAGTAAGTATCAGTACTTCATGCCTTTTTTGGTTGAATAATATTCCATTGTAGATTGAGTTTTGAGAGGCACATTATTTGTCTAAAACTAGTGACCTCTACGCTTGTTGGCAAAAAGTTCCCTCTCTTGGGGGTTTATCGGTGGAGAGTTGAAGTGGTCAGGAAGGGCAGGAGTTGGGGACTTGACTCAGTGCAAGTGTCAGCCGGTTACCACAGTGATTCTGGCCACATCCTGGGTGTGATTCAACAGTGAGGTGCTGTGTCTCAGAGAAATAGCCCTATGAAAAAAATCTGTATAGCTTTTACAGTTAATAAAACACTTTACCTCTGGGTGTCATATGACCCCCATGGTAATTATGTGAAGTAAGTCAGGGAGATAGTATTATGCCCATTTTGCAGAAATTATACCTTGGCCCAAGGAGTTTAATCAACTTGTTAAAGGTTATGATTCTAATGCACAGCGGTGGAACCAGATTTCATCTCCTAATGCTTAGCCAGGCATTCAGCAAATATTTATGGAGCACCTACTATGGGCCAGGCCCCATTCTAGGTTCTGCAGATATGGCAACAAGCAAAACAGATAAAGCCCCTGCTCTCATGGCCCCCAAAGTAACTCCAGCTGATATATAGCAGCTGGAGACAAGCTCGAAGAGAAATAAATCAGGGCAAGGGGCTAACAAGTGGCAGGATGGGTGGGGTCAGGGGTCAGGTGAGGGTCCCCCTCACCACAAGGGGACACCTTCCCTGAAGGAAGCAAGGGACGGGGCTGTGTGGATGTCTGCAGAAGACAATGGTCCGGGTCGTGTGCCTGGCACCATGTAAGGTTTTACTTGCATTCCCTCACAGAAACCTCAACCCATGTTGTTAGGTAGGTGTTGCTAGGCCAGTTTGTAAAATGGCAAAGCAAGCTCAAAATCCAACTATTTAGGCAGTAATGCTGAGACCTGACTTGCCCCTCTAGAACCACTGAAGCGGACAAAATCCTTCAGAAATCTTTCAACTGTCTTCTTGTAAACGCGTGTAGCAGTCCCGGAGTATGAAAGTGAGGTCCTGGTGGGAATTGCCCAGAAGATTTTTGGTTCCTCTTTTCAGTCTGGTTCTTCCTCAGCATCAGCGTCTGGTGAGGGGATCTCACATAGGAACATCGAAGAGCCCATTGATGGTTTGCTGTTGACCTTTAGACAAACACCCACACTTCTCCTCAGATGGCTGGACAAAAACTCCTTAAGAACTATGATTGAAGTTAGCTCACTTTCAGTTAAGATTTATTTTTGCTAATTTCACCACATGTCAAAATGAGTTAGAAATCCTGGATTCTTTTTGGGTGGGAATAAACAGGGCACAGGAAAGACACAGTTATTTAGGACCCCGGAGGAGTGAGCTGCTTTCTATCATGGGGTCTGTCTGGCCCATAGCAAGACCAGGGTTCCATGTGTCTGACATAACCCCTGAGTGAGATGAAAGAGACCAAAAGGTACAAGTTGGGGGTGAGAGGAGGGAGAGAGAGGAAAGGAAACTCTTACGGAAGACCTGCTATGTACTAGGGACTTTTCCATTTATATCATTTTATTTGAATTTAAGTTTACAATGATCCTGAGAGGTAGGCATCATAACATTTTTACAGATGAGGAAACAGGTTAATCAGAAAATGGCTGATCTGGGACTAGACCCCAAATCAACAGGAATCCATAGTCCATGCACCTTCTACATATCAGTTTGCTTTTGTTGTATCTCTTTTAAAGGAGAGTTTGAGTTATTTAGCTATTCTTTGCTCCCCTCAAGTATACCTTTTCATTTATTTCCCCCTTTTCAGTTATATTCCCTAAATCTAGGGCTGGCAATGTTTAGCACGATTGTCGGAAGAAGTGCCTTCGATCATTCTGAGGTACTTCACACTGCTGTGAAAATACCTACCATCACAATACTCTCTTCCTAAATGCTGCAGTAGGGCCACATCCAGTCTGATGGAGGCAGGTAGAATAGCTGGTGAGATGGAGAGGTGCTAGTGTCCCATGATCCTACTGCCCAAGGAGAGTGGGCCTGGAAATGAGATCCCTATCCTAGTGAGACATGGGCCCGCCCAGGGGTTCTGTGTGGCTCTGGAGGATACCGAAGGGAAGATGCAACATGGTAGCACTGCGGGGTTTGGGGGGGTGGTCAGTTGTGAAAGCACCAGGGCTTTAGAGGAACTCTGCTTTTAGGTCAAGCACAGCATAGGAAAAGTTAGTATGCCTTCTAAACCAAAAAAACAGAAAATATAGTCTGACAGGGATTTTGGTGCTACTGATGCTCAGGAAATAACAAAAAGATGGAGTTTAGATGCTGAAATATTGATATTTCTGTGATATGCTGATGGGAAATGGGCAAATGTTTTAAATGGGGACCCTCTAGCAAAACTAGGTTGTAGGGCACCTGTTGTATGGATTGCAGATAGCCAAGGGAGATAAAGACAAGATATCCATCTGTTTAGGGTAGCTAGAGAGGGCAGAAATTGTCCAGAGGAGCCACGGAGGCCTTGTCAGGTGGAGAAGAGGAGAGTCATTTCAGAATGACGTCATGGGGTCAAGCCGGGCCTGGGAGGAAAAGGACTGTTTCTCAAAGCAAAAGAGCCCAGTGATGGAGCCCAGCTGGGAGTGGGCAGTGCTGGCTTACTTATCCTGGAACTGAGCCTCAAACTGGGGAAACCAGTAAACAAGGAGAGTGGCCCAAAAAGTTCTCTGCAAAACTGGGGCAGTTTCCTTTCCTGGGCTTAGTTCCCTCATCTCTAAAATAAGACCACCAAAATGATCAGGGAAATTCCTTCAAAATCTCACATTCCTTAACTATGACTTCCCTATCCCTGTGGGAATGATAACATTGTCTAACTGTAGTTGGCACTCACATGCTAGGTTTCCTCAAGTCCTTCTTCTTTTGGGACTAGTGTGCCTTCTCTCTCATTTGTCCCTGGACAGACAAATGGATAAAGAAAATGTAGTATATACATACAATGGAATATTAGTCATTATCATCATACCCTTAAAAAGGAAGGGAATTCTGACACATGTAAAACATGGAGGAACCTTGAGGGCATTATGCTGAGTGGAATAAACCTGTCACAAAAAGACAAATACTGTACGATTCCACTTATATTAGGTATAAAGTTGAGTGGTGGCTACCAGGGGCTGGCGGGAGGGAGAAAGCGGAGTGGTTTAACGCATACAGAGTTCCAGATTTGCAAGATGGAAAAGTTCTGTTTCACAACAATGTGAATACACTTGATGCTACTGAGCTGTACATTTAAAAATGGTTAAGATGGTAAAATTTATGTTATTTTATTTATTTATTTATTTTTGTGGTACGCGGGCCTCTCACTGTTGTGGCCTCTCTTGCGGAGCACAGGCTCCGGACGCGCAGGCTCAGCGGCCATGTCTCACCGGCCCAGCCGCTCTGCGGCACTTGGGATCTTCCCGGACCAGGGCACGAACCCGCGTCCCCTGCATCGGCAGGCAGACTCTCAACCACTGCACCACCAGGGAAGCCCTATGTTATTTTTTAATCACAATTTTTTAAATGGAGAAAAAAACCACTGGGGACCAAAGAAACCAAAATCAAACTGAACACTCCAATCCTGCTTGGTACTGGATACAACACTCAATTCTGTTACTGCCAACTCCAAATTCTTGCTTGTGCAGGCATCTATATTTAATAGGTATAAGATCTTGTTCTGTTTATCTCTCCATAGGCGTTATCCAGGTGACCAAAACAGTGAAAGAAGCAGCAATGCTATCCTGTGATTACAACATATCCACTGAAGAACTGAAGAGAGTTCGCATCTACTGGCAAAAGGATAATGAAATGGTGCTGGCTGTCATGTCTGGAAAAGTGACGGTGTGGCCCAGGTACGAGAACCGCACCATCACTGACGTCACCAGTAACCTCTGCATTGTGATCCTGGCTCTGCGCCTGTCGGACAATGGCACCTACACCTGTGTTATTCAGAAGCCTGAGAAAGGGTCTTACAAACTGGAGCACCGGACTTCGGTGAAGTTAATGGTCAGAGGTCAGTGGAACTTTCCGATTTTCAATAAGCTGGCAGACTCTTGATGCCCTTAAAGACATACTCCTATTGATTTAAGTGGAAATTTTACCAAAGAGGGGTGTATCTCACTTCATTTCTTAGGGTTGAGTCTCTAGTTTTACAGTGAACCCTAACTGTTTTCTCAGGATATCCTGGAAATATCTATTAGTTGCATTTCTTGCACTTTGACAATCTAAGTTCATGACAATCACCCTGGAGCACTATAATGACCTGAAGTATCTTCTGAATCATAAAGGGACACATTTGGGCTTCCCTGGTGGCGCAGTGCTTGAGAGTCCGCCTGCCGTTGCAGGAGACGCGGGTTCGTGCCCCGTTTCGGGAGGATCCCACATGCCGCGGAGCGGCTGGGCCCGTGAGCCGTGGCCGCTGGGCCTGCGCGTCCGGAGCCTGTGCTCCGCAAATGGGAGAGGCCACAACAGTGAGAGGCCCGCATAACGCAAGAAAAAAAAAAAAATAAAAAAAAAATAAAGGGACACATTTGATTTGATGTAGCTATACTATTAACTGATTTGATCCAGTAATATATTCTTGTAAAGTATGTTGAAAGGTATAAGAGCAATGCAGGCATAAATACTATGGCTATTGTTCTATTATATTTATTGTATATTTGAAGCTCTCCTCTAACGGTCATTCCTACAAAATTAGATGTTAGAGAACTGTGAAGGGCAGGGTAGGAAGAAGCCGTGACTTAACCACAGGTGATACTGCTAGAGGATACTAATATATTCTGAGCCCTCATTGAGAAATGGCAGCCCTGGGCCATTCCCTCATACTTGAAATTCAAACACATTTCTTTTTCTTCCTGGGCACTTGAGGCTTTAGTGGAAAGGCTCAAACCTTTTAATAAAAGATAATAATTAACCTTGATATCAGTTAACTTAAGTGGATCCTTAGTGAAGTCTTCACTGTTCTTCCCTGCTTTTGGTCTTCAGTTATGTTGAATCTTTAGCTGTAACATCCAGATCATACCTAAAGCTTAGGAGGTAAGCCAAATTCACATGGAATTATCTTGAACTTCACTCTGTGTATTCCCTAACCATGGAGAGAGCGAATGATCATATGGTGGTGAGATATGAGGGGTTCTGAGAAGCCCACCTCCTCCAAAATTCAGACCTGCGTTGATTCCTGGAATTCCCACTATTATAGCCTCTCCTGCTAATTTCAGCATTTTTTCCCCACAAGATCCCTGTTAAAGATAAAAATGTGTTCCCTGGGGGAGATGGCACCACAGACATATTAGCCTGTATTAGTTAATTACATTAGATACATAGTTAGTTCTCTAACAGAATATCCAGGCAGAAGTAGACTTAGAACATGTACATTTTTTTTTTTTTTTTGTAGTACGTGGGCCTCTCACTGTTGTGGCCTCTCCCGTTGCGGACGCGCAGGCTCAGCCGCCATGGCTCACGCGCCCAGCTGCTCCGCAGCATGTGGGATCTTCCCGGACCAGGGCATGAACCCGTGTCCCCTGAATCGGCAGGCGGACTCTCAACCACTGCGCCACTGCGCCACCAGGGAAGCCCCTAGAACATGTACATTTTGATAGAAAGATAAAGAAGAAAATCCAAGGAGAAGAGGCAGAGTTTCAGGGAGGGCAGGCCCTAGCAGCAGGTTATCATAGGAGACCAAGGACAGCTAAAGCGGTAGCATGGGAGTGCTGAGGGCCTCAAAAAGGAGAGTGGGGCACCAAAATCAGGTAAGGGAAGACGAAAATGGAAAGTCTACTTGCTTAATTAGACACAGAACCAATTCTGGTATTTCCAATTGAGTCAGTTAGAACAGTGCTTCCCAAATGATAAGGTGCCCATGACCTGGGGATGTTGTTAAAATGCAGATTCAAATGCAGCAGGTCTGGCACTTCTAACAAGCTCCTTGGTGAGGCCTGTGCTGCTGCTGAGGATTGCAGTTTGAGGAGCAAGGCCAAGGTGACCAACTGTCCCATTCTGCCCAGGACTGAGGGGTTTCCTTGGACACGAGATTTTCAGTGCTAATACTGAGAAAGTCTCAGGCTAACTGGGACAAGTTGCTTTCTCTATATTTGCTAAATGATATAATAGCAGCATAGTATCAATGGATGAAAGCCTTCATTAAACAGCACATTTGAGGAGCTAGCTATACTAGTTAACATATTTACTAGGTTGATGGATTTTTACCTTTCTAAAGCATATGCACCTTTTCCTTTCCTAATAAGATATTCTTACCCTACCTATTAAGAGTGGTGAAAATTTGGGTTAATTGATTAAAATGAGAGACAAAAGAATAATTCTTTGATGGTTCACAGTCTTGCAAAGCCTTAGGAGCTGTTACTCTAAACAGATCACCTTATAGAAGGGATAGGAGACAGAGCTTAGGCTGTTCTAAGCCCAGCCAGACCTTGTAAAGATGGTTTTTAATATGATCCTTGGTATTAGTGGCATTCTTGTGGCTAAATGTTTCTTAGAAAAGCAAAGTGCAGAAATGAACATGAATCATAATTAGGATATGAGTTACTTGGATTTGTTATTCCAAGTTATAACACGACATACTGATGTTATGAGAAAGAAACAGAATATTCTTGTTGTTAGCTACCAGTGTAATTATTTGATCTTATAGGAAAAATTAAAGGAGTAAAAAATAATAATGTCAACTAAAAATGGCTCGAGAAAATGTCAAACTTAATTTAGGAACAGGATTAATTCAAAAAATAAAGGTGACTCTATCCCTAACCAAATCCAAGTTTTTCTTTTTCTTGGCATTTATAGTCACTTGTCATAACTTTGTGCCACCAGGCAGTCCTGGAAGCTTTCACCTGGCAACTTGATTTAAATGAGGGAACTCATTTAAAAGAGGACAAATTTAAGGGCTTCCCTGGTGGCGCAGTGGTTGAGAGTCCGCCTGCCGATGCAGGGCACGCGGGTTCGTGCCCCGGTCCAGGAAGATCCACATGCCGTGGAGCAGCTGGGCCCGTGAGCCATGGCTGCTGAGCCTGCGCATCCGGAGCCTGTGCTCCACAATGGGAGAGGCCACAACAGTGAGAGGCCCGCGGACCGCCCAAAAAAAAAAAAAAAAAAAAAAAAAAAAAAAAAAAGAGGACAAATTTAAGACTCACATTAGTCTATTAACTAACTTCCTGTGTGTCAGGCTCTGTTCTATGTGATTTATATTAACGATGTCATTTAATTCTTACAACGCTGGGAGGCAGGTATTATTATCCCCATATTACAGATGAGCAAACTAAGACTAAAATGGTTAAGTAATTGGCCCAGTGTTAAAAGGCAAAACTGGTTATAAAAACTGGTCTTGGGACTTCCCTGGTGGTGCAGTGGTTAAGAATCTGCCTGCCAGTGTAAGGGACACGGGTTCAAGACCTGGTCCGGGAAGATCCCACATGCTGTGGAGCAACTAAGCCCGTGCGCCACAACTACTGAGCCTGCGTTCTGGAGCCCGCATGCCACAGCTACTGAAGCCTGTGTGCCTAGAGCCCGCGCTCCGCAACAAGAGAAACCACCACAATGAGAAGCCTGTGCCCGGCAACGAAGAGTAGCCCCTGCTTACCGCAACTAGAGGAAGCCCACGTGCAGCAACGAAGACCCAACGCAGCCAAAGATAAACAAATAAAAACAAAACAAAACAAAAAACCTGGTCTTGATGACCACTGTGCTATACGACATCTCTCTGTGAGACTCTGAATTCTGAAAAAAAAACATATATAAGATGAAGTATGGGGGTTCTCCACATTATGCCAGGAAGTATAAATTCTTTAAGCTTAACAATAAGTGAGGAAGAGGTGAGGGGAGTTTTTTCCTGTGTTCTCTGCAGTCATTTCACTATGCTTTGCTTTATTTTAGTATCTTATTAAGGGGCAAATACACAAATGAAAGAGTGCCTCAAGTATCTTGGAGGAATATTAGGAAGGTCTCTCTGTCCTCATAAGGCATATCAGAACAGCAAGGGAATCAGTAAAGCACAGTGGTTGAGATTACAGGCTCAATAGTGTAAAATTTGGACAGAGGTTTATCTGATTAAAGACTACTTTTGAAAAAGTAAGGTAATGCTAAACAAACTTTAGAGTAGTGTTACCTACTTCCCACCTCAGTAGTGTGGGAAGTAGGGAGATAGCAAAGTTAAGACCATACAAGTAGATTTACACAAGTTACTGTCAATATTCTGGTTCTCAGTTTGGACGGTGGGTTCTCAGGTGTTTAGTATAGTATGAATTAATAAATAGATACATAAAAGAGCTACTTTGCATACCTCAAAAATTAGGAAGAAAGAGGAGAAAAAGAAGTAAAAGAAAGGAAGGAAAGGAAAGGAAAAGAAAAGAAGGCAGACATATTTTAATCTGCTTGCTTATATCTCTAATACCATGGCATTAGTATTTTTCTGAGAATATGTTTTTCAATATAATCTCATTTTTAATGTTTTAATAAAACAGCAATGTTTGAAGCTCTAAAAAAAAAAAGAAAGAAAAGAAAAGAAGTCAGGGGAAGGGAAAGTTCTGGTATCAGAAAAACTTGAATTCAAATCCCAGTTCTGCCACTTATTGGTTGTGATTTCTCTAGACCTCAATTTGATTATTTATAAAGTGAAACATTGTATTAGGTTAAATCATATGAAATTACTGATGTTTGACCTTTTTTGATCTACAACCTACCTCCTAGGGTTGTTGTAAAGATGAAATGAGATAATGTCCAGACCTAAGAAACATTAACATGTTGTCTATTATTTTTTTCTTCACCTCTTGCAAATGCAAGTATTGATACTATGTCAATATTTATTCACATGAATCTACCTCTTTCTTTAATAAGTGCCCTCCTACCTCCTTATGAAGAATTGATATAACCAATTCAAACCAAAATTAGTCTTTGGATTATACATAAATATTAATGACTTATGGGAAGTTACAAATTATATTTTATTATTCTTATTAAAGAAATATGTAATGATATGTACTTACAGCCTTGTTCTTTCTTCAGCTGACTTCCCTGTCCCTAGTATAACTGATCTTGGAAATCCATCTCCTAACATCAGAAGGATAATTTGCTCAACCTCTGGAGGTTTTCCAAAGCCTCACCTTTCCTGGTTGGAAAATGGAGAAGAATTAAATTCTACCAATACAACACTTTCCCAGGATCCTGAAACTGAGCTCTACACGATTAGCAGCAAACTGGATTTCAATATGACAAGCAACCACAGCTTCGTGTGTCTTGTCAAGTATGGAGCCTTAACAGTGTCACAGATCTTCAACTGGCAAAAATGTAAGTGATATTGTTCTGGGAAGTTTCTGCTGTGTAGAGTCTAAAAAGAAAATAACTCAGCCAGAGGCATCACAGAATTATGTATATCGACTCTGATAGTATTTTTTTGCAGTATTTTTAGACATGCAAATAAAATGATAATGAAAGTATTACTATGACTTATTAAGGTCACTGTACAAGGTTTGACTATAATGTTACTAGACTAATTTTATTTTCTTTAATAAACATTCTAAAATTTAGACATCCAAGTAAGTTCTATCCATCAAGTCAACATCTTAGGAAGTTATTATAACAATATTGTTGTGATTGAAAGCACTAAGAATTGTCCTTCTTTGGATTTGCTCTCTGGGCTTTGGCACTTTCATTTTGGGGGCCCCCTCCCCATGGTCCCATAATGTCAAATCATTGTCTTTTGAGGGTGAATGCACCTTTTAAGAACTACTGGTTCATTTAGAACCAAGTCGATCATTTTTAACCAAGACCATGACCAAATAGTTTACCCTACATATAGTAAACTTACAGAATTTTCTTTCCCCAAGAGGTGAAATCATCTGAAAATATAAAATGGAAAAAGTTGGGCTTTTATAAATTTATGCATATTAAACCCATAATGGACTATTACAGAAGAACTCAGATACTTGAAATACATTTCTAACTTGTTTGGCTGATTAAATGGAGCACCACCAGGCCTCTCCCACCCCTAGCCCCACTTATAACAATATGTTTTGTGGCTGCATAGTAAAAAATTATACATCGAGTATGTGTAGTATGTCTTACATCTTCCTCTTATTTTTGCTTGTAGTAGAGGAGATATTTTAGATGGTCTAGTAGTTCATCTTAGTGAATGATTTACTCTAGATCTTTCTATCTTGAGTGGATTCTTTATTTTCATCAATAGGTAATGAGATAAAATTTTGGCATGATTTTATTAATAGTCCAAACTCATCTCTATCATCTTTTATGTATTCTAAAGAATTTATAAAAATGAATTTTGAATCCTATAGTAAAAAGTTTATTAATTCAGCATTCTTGTCACTTTACTGATATATAATTATTTAACCACTTTTAGATTATCATGACTAAGGTAGACAGTATTACACAAATTAGTAACAGCAGCTTCAATTATATTTTATTTTGGACATCATTTATATTTGGAATATGAGTACATATGATATTCTAGGGCAAGGGTTGACAAAAATTTTCAGAAAAGGGCCAGATAGTAAATATTTATTCTTTACAGGTCATATGGTCTCTGGCAACAACTCAGTTCTTCTGTTATAGCATGAAAGCAGCCATAGAAAAGACAAATGAATGACATAGCTGTGTTTTAACAAAATTTTATTTAAAAAAATAGGTGGGGGGCTTCCCTGGTGGCGCAGTGGTTGAGAGTCCGCCTGCCGATGCAGGGGACACGGGTTCGTGCCCCGGTGCAGGAGGATCCCATATGCCGCGGAGCGGCTAGGCCCGTGAGCCATGGCTGCTGAGCCTGCGTGTCCGGAGCCTGTGCTCCGCAACGGGAGAGGCCATAACAGTGAGAGGCCTGCGTACCGCAAAGAAAATAAATAAATTAATTAATTAATAGGTGGTAAGCCAGGTTTGGCCTGTGCATGGTAGTTTGTTAACTTACAGGAAATAGAATGTAGTCCTTTATATAAAAGGATGGAGCTATTATTTAAAGATGATTTAGACTGCCCAGCTTTATCATCATTTCCCTAGTTTGCCTTCTCTCAATTTTTCCTTCATGCTAAGGATGAGCAGTATCCCTTTTCACGATAATTCAAAATACTAGTTCTTTGTCCTATTTGGTCCACATTCACAATGACTAATGGAGAGATGATTAACAGTATGTGTTTAATCATTCTTTCATTCAATTTTTATTAAGTAGTTATCACATACCAAGCATCTTGCTAGGCACCAGTGTTGTCTTTGTGGTCAGAGAGCTTTAAATACTTCAGATCTCATGAACTGGATGGCAAGCATCATTTAGAGTCAAAAGCAAATAATGCATTTGTGGGGGAGGTCAAGGGGTGACTGCATAAACAAACGTAAATTAGGTGTATAGTTGATAGGAATAGTTATGTCAATGTGAATAAAGCTTTACTATTTAAATACCCACTCTTTACCCCCAATTTATTAATTAAACAGATTGGGTCTATGGCTCTTTTAGCCTGGGCCTGCCCAATTTGTTAACCTTGATGTACTGGAAGATATATGTGTGTGTGTGGAAGGGGTGAATCAGGGAGTCCCACTCAGGCTGTCTAATGAGCCATATGTGCAGATGTCGTCACACAACTATGCACTTGGGATTTTGGGTCTGCCCTGTGGTGCCTTACCAGGTTCCTAATAGGCATCACGACAGAGTAGGTTTGCTGCTACTGGTTCCCCCTTCTTTCTCTTAAACACATACCTTCTTTCCAGGCTGAGTGAGGCTTGAGGATGGATGAGGAGTGACCTCTGAGAGGAAGCCAGGAGTGAGTTGGAACTTGTGAAACATCTAGACTCCCAGGATAACAGCAAGAGCTTCTTTGTTATTTGGGGTGTCATTCTGGTCTGCAGAGGCCAACCCTGCTAATCACTCGATGTCTCCACCCAATCTGGTGTTTTAGAGAAAAATAAAAAAACGACTTTCCCTAGTCTCTAAGTAGTAGGTGCTCTATGGTCAAATGTGCATTTTATAATGATCACTGTGGCAGAATGTGTAGGAATTATTAAAGCCTAGAAAACCAGAGGCAAAGAGACTGATATAAAGGCGACTAAGTTGGAGATCAGAAAAACCTGAACGAAGGCAGCTGCTGCAGGAGATTTGGAGAAAAGGAATCAGTTGCAGGGATTTTCTCAATACAGCATAGAAAGTCAGTGGGAGCTACTGGGCAGTGAGCACAAAGGCAAGCCTCCCCTTTTATTTGGGTCACTGATGGTGTTGCCATTCATTGAAATGGGAGAATGTGGGTGGTAGATATGCTTTGGAAAGAATACATGGATACTGAATTCAATTTTAGTCAGGTGGAGATGCTGGCATCCAACCATATAGTCAACGGCTGGAAATACAAATTTGGGGCTCAGAAATGAGATCAGAAATATGGTATACAGATTTAGAAATCAGCTGGTGTTTCCAAACTTGGGTGTGGATGAGATCACCCCATGATTACTGGGGCCAGTGAGAGGAGAATGGGACCACAGATGGAGCCATGGGGAACAACAGTAGTTAAAGGACAAGAAGAGGAAGAGGAGCCTACAAAGAAAACTGAGTCACAACAAACAGAAACTGAAGAATGTGGTGTCACAGACATCGCAGGAGGAAAAGTGTCAACTGGGCCGAATGCTGATGAGAAGTCCTATAAGCTAAAGACCAAAATTTATCCCCAAGGCTTGTAATCAGAAAAATGGGAAATGGTACTTTAGTAAATGCTCAATATTTATTTGTAAGCCATTCCGGAGAGATCAGAAGAGGATGAGCTGCTAATACTCCTTTTGTGTCCCTGCCCTTCTCCAGATGTTGCTAACTATTCCTCAAAGGGGTTGAAAATAAATGGTGTAGCTGCTGCTCCTGAGCGGCAGGGACTGACAGCAGTACCGCATACACCTTTCTACTCCCACCCGCATCCTTCCTCGTGTGCCCTGTCTTTTCTCTGTTCCCTGTGTTCTGCAGCTGATAGCCAGTTTGTAGAGCTCTCCTTCAGGATGATCCTACCTACTACCAAGCCATATCCACGCTTGGTTCTTTGCTGGGTCTCTTCTATTCTTCCAGAAGCTCTAGGCTGTATGATGAAAAATGTATATCTGATAATGAATGCAAAGTGGCTTCTGTAGCTTTAGGCAGCTACTGTAAGGGGTGTGTTTCTGTGTGTGTGTTAAAGAGGACACCCTAAAAGGGAGAAGGCATGACAGAGCTGGAGAAGGAAAAATAAGGTATCTCTAGAACACAATATCAATTATTAGTAGCAATACATAGTAATGTCAGCTATAGAAATGAGATATGAAGACAAGATAGCTTTTAAAGGCTTTCCTGAGAAACTTTTTTTATGCCAACTTAACTCAGTAAATGCAAAAGTTCAAATTTTCTTTTTCACATTCAATATCTGACATCTGGTATTAGTTGCCCACAAGTATGTGTCTGATTAAAGAGTTATGCAAGAAAAATGCTGGAAGCTGCATTTTGGAGAGCTGACCAGGCAAAAAAGTGAAAAATGCTTTATAGTTGTGTCAATATAAGGGGCACAGAATGGGTATCAGGCAGTTGGAAATACATTAGAGCTGACACTATTCTTTTCCTTCAGCAGCCAAACCAGCCCCTTCTGCTAATCAGCTCCTGCTCTGGGCCATTATTATCCCAGTCTCAGCATGTGGGACTTCTGTGATCATTGCAGTAACACTAACATGCCTGTCCTGCAGTAAGTAATATTGTACTATCACAACGATCTCGATTCCTGGACACCCAAACTCTACCAGTATGGGTCAGCACCTCTCCGAGGTTTTAGCCTATTTTATTCTCACTTTTGGAGCAAATCTATGGAAACTTTAGTGTCTCCTTTACTTGTCTCAGCAAGTTCTGTTCATTCACTGGACAGATATTTCTTGGACACCTGCTATGTGCCTGGCATTCTACTAGGCACTGGAGTTACAAAGATGAGAGATCACTGCCCTCAAGACACATTCTAGTTTAGTCCTTTTATTTTTCCCCTAAATGTATAATATTTTCTTGGAGATACTGAGGCTTGCTAACTAAATTGAAAACATATCTGATACAAAGTGACAGTCTAATCTTTGATTTGGAATTGGAGGAAAGGCAGAATGACAAGGTTTAAGGGCAAGAATCATTTTCTTGGAGGAGGGTAAGATGCACTAATGAGATGTAGTTGAGCAACTATATGGCCACAGGTGATTCTACCAATTCTCAATTCTTCAGAATTTATTTTTGGATGAAAGACCAGGAGTGAGGAAAGAGCTATCTAGAATTTTTTTTCCCATGAATCTAAATTTTTGGCTTTACACATATGCTACCCTCAATCTGTAATTAAATGAAGAGGAACTGCTAGGCCAGCGCTAAGGCTATAGTCACCATGAAGGAACACCAAGCTTTCTTGGAGTATAAATCTTGTACACTGAGCAAAGAAAATTGGAAGACCAACATCTGCTGATTTCCCCAACTTTCAGCACAAAAAAATGTCAAGGCTCGAGGAAGTGACTAGAGACTCTTTGCTATGAACATCCTACCCCATGGGTAGGATAAAGAGGTCTGGTGGGCTCAAGGATGTTTCTAATACAGACTGTGAACCTCTCTAGTTCAGAGTTTTTCATCCTTAGTACTACTGACTTAGGGAGCTGTATAATTCTTTGTTTTAGGGGGCTGATCTGTGCATTGTAGGATGTTTAGCAGCATCCCTAGCCCCCACTCACTATATGCCAATAGCACCTCTTGCCCCCACTGTGACAGCCAAAGATGTCTCTAGACATTGCCCATGTCCCTGGGGGGTGATGGTGGTGGTGGCTGTGGAAATCACCCCTGGTTGAGAACCACTCCTCTAGTTCTAAGCCAGTTGAAGGTTTGCTGAAATACATGGGCGTGATTTAAGGGAAACTTACCTACCTAGATTTTTATTGTTTGTGCTTTGTCTTCAAGGACATGCTGCAAGATGGAGAGAGAGAAGGAGGAATAAGGAAAGCATGGAAATGGAAAGGATCTCCCCATCTACATAGGATCTGTGGAAGGATTGGGCTGACCAGAACACCTCGAGGTATCTTCTCTCGAGTGTGGAATATGTGAGATCTTGTGCTCGTGAACACAGAGTTTTCTTCCTCTCAGTACCAAATTTAAGATCTTTTACTACTACTACCACCTTTTCAAAATCCACATTCAATGTACTCTAAACAGATGGTTGGCACCTCTCTCCTTTCTCCCCACATAAAATTTGCTTCTTGTAACCTCTGCCTTTGCCGTGCCATTCTGCCATCTTGAAATGTTCCCCTCTTGTCAGTCAACTCAGTGTCTTTCGGTATCTGTCAAACACGTGTACTATTCCTGGGCTATCTCCTTATTCTGATCACTCCTTTTTCCCCGTATCCCTCAGTACTGTTGGACACAGACTGGGGTCACTCTGTACTAATTCAGTAACATCTCATTGATCTGTCTGCCTCTTATTAACAGAGTCATCTCCCACTGACCCAATTACAGAGCCGAATTTCATAAAGAATTACCTCTCCGTGTCATTTTCTCACTTAAAAACTCAGAAGAGACCCCAGGGTCTACAGGAAAAGTTTCAGAACTTTTTACTTTCCACATTCCAGCTGATCTCTTCAGTCTAAACATCTTCAGTTGTTTCTGTTGTTCTTCACACGGCAGTTTCCAGAAGCTCCATGTGAACACACTAAATGTCAATAAATGGTGTCCGAAACTTTAGATTTGATCTGATTCTACATACGACGGGGTAGTTACTATTCATCCAAGGATGTTAAGGAAGCCTAAACACAGCATCAGCTTTTGTGAATCACACTATTAATTTATATCAATTTTGTGCTATCCTAAAATCCCCAGGTCTTTTCAGGTAAGAGAAACATTGACACATTAAAATCCAAAAGACTGACATCAGGACCAGGGTAAACCACTATAAATCAGTCTCCATAAAGAGTTCAGTTTTGACTTGTGAAGGTTAGGGTAACAGCAGCATTAAAAATGAGATTCTGCCGAGTTACCTTTAAAAAGAAAGGAAAGTGAACTATAATACCTGAGACTTACATACAGGTTATGTTTTACAAAAGCATTATTTCATTTCGCCGTGTAAAAATCTCTATGAGCACGATCTTTCTATCTCCGTTTTATGGGAGAGAAACCCAAGGCTCCCAGAGGTAGAGTGATCTGCCTAAAGTCAGACAAATAAGGAGCAAAACCAGGACCCAAACTCGACATCAAGCTCAGGTTCCTTTCACAGCAGCATAGCAGCCTATGCATATTTTCCCCACAGCAGTCTCTCAGCTTCCCATCCTGCTTTCTTTTCATTTCAACTTCTTGCTCATTCTCCAGGATGCCCTTCCCAAGATGTTCCCCTCAGTTCTGCAGTTACCTAACATTTCCCTGACTTTCCTTCCATCTTAAAAGTTTTCTGCTCAGTCAGCTGATCCTTCATAATGAAGCCAGGAACCCAGTCTCCTTCACAAGTATTCTGTGGCCATCTTGCCCAGTTCAAGCAGTTCTGCCTGACCGCTAGAGCAGTGCTCTCTCTAGCACGTCACCCTCCACCCTGGGTTTATTTTCATGTGCCGTGTCTTATATCCTTTACCAAACTGTAGGCTTACTGAGAAGAGCAAGCATGCCTGATACACCTTTGTTTGCCCCACACATAGGTGAGTGCCTTGATCTATAATGTTTGGTTGGTTCGTGATAGCTGGTGCTTTTAATATTTGCCTGATATTTCATGTAGTAAAAATTGTCAGACTTGTCCTAAATTCTCCCATAATTTAGACTTGCCTTTATGTTCTTCAGTCATCAAGATTAATATCTACAATGTTACCTCAAACTGGGAATACCCTTGTGATAGAAAATATAAAAAGTTTTAATGTTTTCTTCAGGTCCCACCTCCATCTGAGATCGACCTCTTCTTGGAGCTTCCTCAAATGGCCAGGATTATCCCACCTCGACCTTCATGTATCTGTTCTCTAGGAGCCTCTTCAGTTCAGTGGCTTTGCTGAAAGTGACTAGAGGAGTATGATGGGGACAGAAGTAGCTCTGGTGACCCTGACCAAGGATTTGGAAACACAGAATTCTTTAGGCCTGGAAGAGACATTAGTGAATACTCTTACTAATGACAAGGACATCGAAGTCCTGGAAGGTGAATTGAATTGTAAAGGCCAGGGCCAGAACCCAGATTTCCTGGCACTGGTGCTCTTTTCCTTCATCAATCCAGCTTTGTGCTATTAACTGGTACGTGTGTACACACACACACACACACACACACACACACACACATCAGTCAAAGTGCTTCTGGAAACAGAATTTATCCAGTATCAATCAGGTCAATTTCAGAGACTTGATTTGATGAAGGAATGGAGAAGGATGTTATGTCGTTAAAAGCAATGTGTGGGAAGTATGGTGTATGTACACCTAGATGAGGATAATGGAAATATTATTGGTGTTTAGCCAGCACATTTTCATTGTGTTCTCCTTTGTTGTTCTCCCACTTCTCTACTAGGTTCAGGAGGAAGTAGACCCATCTAAAACTAATTTCTTCTGACAGGTAGAATGAATGACTTATACAGTAAGTCCCCTACATACAAATGAGTTCCATTCTGAGAGCGTGTTCCTAAGTCCAATTTGTTTGTAAGTCCAACAAAGTTAGCCTAGGTACCTGACTAACACAGCGGCTATATACCGCTGATTTTACGCTTGCTTCTGGACATGCTGGGCTTAAAGTAAATATACTGTTACTACTGTACTCTATACAGTAAAGTATACAAAAGCATAATGAGGCACACACGTGACAACGTATGCCAGACACTTGAACTAACTTACATGATTGGACATGCGAACACATGTTCGCATCTTCAAAAGTTTGCAACTTGTTAGTAAATGCAAACAGAATGACTTTATTTTTTGTTTTGTAAAGTAAATCAAACTTACCAGATCATAGGTCAAACAAGAATAGATTTTGTTGAACTATTTTTTTTCTTTTAAAAGGAGCAACTAAAAAATAAATCAATACTATGAAAAGCCCAGATGAATGCTTCTTGATAATTCCTTGGAAAAAAGTTGGTAAGCCAATGTAAATACTGTATTAGAGAACAAGGGCATAGCAAAATACTTAATACACACTGCTAACCTCTGTGGTTAAGACTGACACAACCAATAAACTGTTAAGGAGGAAAATGCAAAATTCTCTAAGAAAAGATTTAGCAAAAGTTGTGCATGTGTACAAACCACACACAAACTTTTTTTTCTATTTAAAATTTATGAACTAATCAATAAGTTGTTCTAGAAAGTAAGTGCAAAGGAAAACAGCTTCCTAAGTTCATTTTTGTAATAAAAATTGGCATATCTATTTTGTTACTTCAAAGACATATAAAGGAATTAAAATTTATTTCTAGTTAAATTAAAAAAAAAAATAGTTCACAACTTGAATGTTGGTATGTAGGGGACTTACACCTCAAAGCAACAGTAAGGTTGGAGAGTGATTATTTGTTTAGTTCACATTGGACTGATACTCTCCTTAAATGGCTTTATGCTAGTTTAATATCATTTGTAAAATCTTTATGAGAAGGTTCTCATTTAAAATGAGATAGGTTTTATGTATGTACTAAAGAGTAAGCTGTCTTTAGCAGAAATTGATTGAAGTAATGAAAATAGCATTCCACAGGGCTTCCTTACATCCCTAAAGTGGCTTTTCCTCCATGGTATTTCTGGATCCCTCTGACATCAGCAGAGAATTGAAAAGAAAGAAGTGGCCAACTGCTGTTCCTACATTACTTAACTCATGACTCCTCTTTCTCTGAAATTACCTTCCATGCTCATTGGACCAGGAATGGACGTGATTTAACATGGGGCAATCAGACATTCTCATTTGAAAATCTGGAGTTGCACAGCAAGTTGACCAAGTTTCTCAAACGGGGCTGGATTTAAAACGTTTAATTTTGGTAGCTGTAAAGGGGCTAGATTACTCTATATAGTCTAAGGAACAGAGGTACACTTTTAAATGGTTGCTCACAGAACAAAATTACAAGAATTTAAACAAATAAACAGCTACCAAAAAAAAAAAAACCACACCAGGAATTGCCACATTTAGTTTAGATTCATAATCCTTGGACATGATCAAAAGGAGACCTCTAGAAGTAACCACAAAACAGTACAAACCTAAGAGACAGCTTACTTGTACTTTAAATAAATTATAGTAAATTATTGCTTATTACATTTAATAAATGTGTTACTACTATTTTTTCAAGTAGAATTTTTTACTTTTATTATTCTGATATTTTTGTGATATGAATAAAATTATTTTAAAACCAACCATCTAATTTTGTAAGTTGAAGGATTTAATCTCAATGTGGTTGTGAATAGAACAATAAACAGATTGACTAAGTACCAATTTGTCAGCAATTTATGAATGGGATAATTAAGAAAAACATGCTTTTGGGAGTGTGGCAATAATATGTAAATCATGGTGAAAATGTGCTGGTGTGTATCCTTTTAACTGCTAATACCTGTTGTTAGATAATGTGCTGTGTGCCACTGCATTGTGCTATGTTTTACACACATCGTTTCATTTAATACTCATTCTGAGGTAGATACTGTTTCATGTGACAGATGAGAAAACTTGAGACTTAAAGTAAAATGGCTTGGCCGCAGGTCACATGGCTGCGAAGCTCCAGGGCTGAGATTCCAAGCCAGTTGTTCTGCCTCCAGAGCCCACGGATTTAGCCCCTACTCTAGGCTGCTTCACAAACCCTGCTTATGTGAACAACAGTATTTTCAGAGTAGGAACCAAGAGGTCTAACCCCAAAACAAAGCACTAGCAGTTTTTTCCTCTCAGTACACTCAATTCAGTCATTCTCACCTCTCACTGAGTAAGTTATAATCTGCAGGGCAGCCTCCTTCTCAGGCAGCAAGCTCCTGGAGTGTAGAGACAGTGTATCTATTCTGAGTAACTCTTGTATACTATAGCAGAGATACTTTGTCAGCATTACTGAGAGAGGAAACAAGGTCGGTTGTTTCTTTAATAATGCTTATCTACTTCCTTTTTGTTAAGTTTTATATTATTTCAAGTGGCACAGGAACCATCTTTGATTTTTATTAAGACAGAACCAAACACGACTACACATTTAGGTCCTTACTGTTTCTAGGACTCAAGGGTGCAAGGGTTTCACAGACCATTTGCCTTACCTGGTTCCTTCCTCTCCTTCCCAGTGATCCCTACAGTACTTTTTTAAAGAGCTACAAGAATAAATTTACAACCTGTACAATTCAACTTTAATCTTTTGGGAAATCTTAATTTACTATTGTATAATCCAGGGAAAAGAAATCTATATTGATCAATCAATATAGATATAATGTCAAATATATAGATCAATTAATGTAGATAAAAGTATGTACTTAAATTTAAGGATGAGTAAAGTAAGAGTACAATAGCCCAATTCCTGGTTAAAAAAAAAAGTAAGAGCAAGTCACTGCCACTACAGATGCCCGTACTTACATCTGTCAGCAGCCCAATTAACTGGCATTCAATGGACATAGCAACACAGCTTTCAACTCTCCAATGAGTTTTAAGTCCAGAGCATGTTCAGTCTTTGTCTTGTTTATCTGCTGACGAAGGGTTTCTAGGAAGATTTAGCAGTGCTTCAATTTTCTTAGCATTGGCCTTGGATTGATTTTTCTGTAAATTACTTTCAATTTCCTCAGGGAGGAGCTCAGTAAAGTGTAGTCTGGCTTTCCTGTAATCAAAGAACAAGAAGGATATATCAAGTACTGCTCTATTTCTTTGGTTTTTTAGAGAGAATTTTTTTTAGAAAGATAGTGTTTGTCTTATACTCCCTTACAACTTGTGAGCAAACATTGCTCCTTGCACTTCAAATACAATGACTTTCTTCTCTCTCCTAACCTGTTCCACTTACAAGCCAGCTATGAGTCTCCCATTACCAACATGGACATTGCCAGAGCAGGAGCTCTGATCCTTAAGATATTCCAGAGTTCTCGAAGGGGTGACATGCAGTTGCTGAAGCACCCTGAGCTAAGGTGTGAGCCTCAAACCAATCTGTCCTCTTGCCCTCAGGGCCCAGAGGGGATGTGAAACACCCTGCCACTCTGTTAAACTCTGTTGACAGACCTTGTGGGACATGTACAAAGGTTATAACATTGGTAATCTCAGTACGGAAAAGTCACATAGGGCAACACTACATATGTATATTTACTAGGAGTTAAAAAATCCAATTTCCAAATAACAGATCAGTTCTTTCTCCAAGTCAAGTATTAGTGTCCTCCTGTCTTTAAGTGATTATCAGGGTCACCTATGACTTTCTTCTCAACTCTTCATAACCAGATTTAACCATATCTTCTTTCATAGCTCTATGGAAAATACAGCCAATGTTCTGTATTTTCTGCTCACTATGTCAATTTTCTAGATTCTCACTTTGTTGATTTCTCTCTACTGTAGTTATTTTCAAGCAAAGAAGCAGACATGTAAAAGGTTCTTAACTATTTATTAACTGTCCTCATAAATACCACATATATATTATATATAGGTACATATATATAAATATATAAATAACCTATACACTTCTGACACTATTTCTTTCTGCCAAAATATTCTTTCATTTCTATAATTCCAGTTGTTGTTTTTACCCATTCTAGAGGTTTTCCATCTCTAAATAACTGACCAACTTCTCTAGTTTTTTTTTTTCTGGTTTCCTTTTTTTCTGATTGGAATACAATTATTATTTGTTCATATTTTTCCAAATGTTAATTCTTCTATAACTTCCTATATCAGATTCAAATAACCAGATATTTTCCTTACTTTTCCAACTCCTTTCTCAAAGATTCCTTTTTAAAAAAGAAGTCTCTTAGGACACCTAAATAAGCTAATGCTTTCATGCTTTTAGCTCTCCATAATATCAAATTATATGATGGCATTCAGAATTTTAAGTACTTTATCCTAGAACCTAGAGAGCTGCATTATCTCACTTACCTTCTTACTATGGAGAAGACAGAACAAAACAAACGTATGTTGAACACTGTGGTGTGATTCTGCCCTTAGAACAGCTGAGAAAACAGGGCTTGAAGTTAAGGAAAACATCTACGGTCACAGAATTAATCAATAGTCTAGCTGGGATTTAAGGTTTGTTTTCAAGGTTTCATTGGCTCTAAAATCAATGCTTTTTCTCCTATAGCACCTGCCCTTGGAAAACAGATCTACAGATATTAAGAATTTCCATGTGTGTGTGTGTGTGTGTGTGTGTGTGTATAGCACAAATGGAAGTTTCAAATAAAAACATGGGAAAAAGAAGACTGCTTATCCACCAAACTACCAAAGTAGCAGCAGCAGATGTCATCTTAGTGGCCAGGAAGCAGAACCATGAGAATCATTTGTACCAAAGTGCTAGATGGCAGCCTATTATGATGATCTTAAAAAGAATTAGCATGAAGTCTGCTATTGCTGGACCCCAAGGAGTGACTAGATAAACAGGTGACAGTCTGTATCCTTCTCAGTGGCATCTAGTCCATGAACAGCCACTATATCTACCTAATGCCTACTGCGTCCACAGCAAGAAGTAAAATCTTTGAATGTGGAGGCCTAACATGCTCTGTATTGTTCATAGATGTGTAAACAAGGATATCATCTTTTAAATAAAGCTCACTCATTGCTGTTTATTTCCTTTACGTAATTTCCTATGCAGTCAAACACATAGGAAAAGAAAAAATATGCAACCAAATGAGATTTACAACATTTTAACTTAAAAAAAAATGTATCTAAGGAAAGATTCTCAATTAGTGTCTTTCAGTTTTCCATTCTCCTTAATTAAAAAGATTAAAAGACCAGGTAAGGTGCCAGGTGAAGGACTCAGTAAACAGAAACTCTTTGAATTGAGCGGCAATTTAGAGTACTTATTTCAGAGGGCACCACTGTCCACGGATAGGAAAGCCAGACACCCCCCCCACCACCACCACCGGTCTTAACATGCTCCTTACCGCTCTT